TTGCTATGTGAACGTGGAAGGGCATCTTACACACACGTTTCTCATTATTTTTGGGATTAAAGAGGCACCTTTTTATTTCATCGTTTTGGTCAATCTAAAAACTAATGACGACAGGTGAATGTGCATTCAGTGTCACTTACCCAAATATAGAACATGAATGTCTTGACAGGGTTGTGTTTACCTTGGATTTACTGTGTATGTCACAGGCAATATTACAATTAAAAGTGGTAAATGTACAAATGTTAAACAAAAGTATAGTTCCCTGACTGGAATACTGCTCAATATGCGACATTTTATAATCCTTAAGTCACATTGAACATAGAGATGACCTTCTAGCATGTCTCCAACAGTATCAAGTATTAATCTGTGTCACCCTAACACTATCACGTATCTCATTGGCTGCATTCATTATCACCGATGATAATAGGTCAGGTTTTGACCAGTAAATGCAGCAATGCATTGGAATATGAATAATTAAATTAAAGAACATTCAGACTAGAATCGGTTTATTAAAATGTATATAGAAAACAATACAAAAATAGTAATGTAAGGTCAGTAACTGAGATTTAAGATGCACCTCCGTCGAAATTTTATTAAGGTGGGAATCATGTGCTATCATCGATTTTGTATTCGTAGATTCAATAGTGAACGCATAAGCGCTTCACATTTATGTTTCAATCCGAATTTTCAATTTTTCGGTATCAGCACATGCTTGTACCGATTTTTGAGGATAGGATTTAAGTTACATCTGATTAAACAGGGTTAAGTTCAGTTGCTAAAAGTTTGTACATGTGTGTGCTGTGTGTCAAAAATACATTTGAAGTCAAGGAAACCCCTATACTTTAGTGCATGTTGCTGCTGGCAGTAACATTGATGGTCTGTAATAAGTAAGTCATGACACATATCTGAGAAGTTATTTTACTGAGATTACCTATCGGAATTCATTGAGATGGAAAATCGAATTTTTCCATTTTATTGTTGGTTATATTTATATATGTATAAGTCAAATAATGCAGTAATACGCTGTACGTCTTTTTGCGATCACAGTAATGTACATCATCCCAACAGATATAACTGGCTATATGGTATCGAAGTCAGTAGTATAACTTAGCCTTTAAACAACGTCTTCATATACTTAATAACCAAACTATAATGGCAGGGATAAACGACCGAAAAACTCGCCAAAAAAAAAAAAAAAAAAAACCAAATCATTAACCACTTTAGACAAAAAGTGATCCCTGTACTGGGTATTTTTTAAATTGTTTTTTAATTTCTCAAACAAAAGTACTTGGAACAGTAACTTTTTATTTAACTCATTTTGTATGATAATTTTGTTTCTGTCAAAACATTTGGTGATCTGACCATACAAATGATGTTACTGTTTTCAGGTCATCTGACTGGAAAGGTCAGAATGATCTTAAGCCATCATGTTTCGTCCGTCATGCGAAGTCCATCGTCTGTCGTGCATAAACTTTCCTTTCGAATGACTTCTTCTCGATAAGCAAAAGGTCCAGGGTTCTTATATTTAGCATGTAGCATAATGGGTGAAGGACTACCAGATTTGTCAAAAAGAATTACCTTGAAGCACTTTCAAGGTCACAGGGGTCAAATGAGTTGAAACATTTAAGCAAGTTTATCTTAATAACCAAAAGGTCAAGGGTGCTGATATTGGGCTTTTAGCATGATGGAAGGAACGACAATCTATTTTGTCGAAATAGATTACCTTGGCCTACTTTTTAGGTTGTATGGGTCAACTGTGTTCAAATATCTAAATAACTTCTTCTCAATAACCAAAAACCTTAGGGTGCTGGTATTGGGCATGTAGCATGCTGGGAGTAAGTGCTGTCAAATTTGTAAAAATGAATTACCGTTACCCACATTTCAGGTCAATTGTGACAAATGTGTTGAAATCTTTAATCAACTTCTTCTTAATAACCAAATGGCCAAAGGTGCTGATATTAGTCATATAACATGAATATATAAACACCTTTACCATAGTCATTAGCATACAACAGAAATATATAAACACCTCTACCGTAGTCATTAAACATACATTACAACAGAAATATATAAACCCCGGTACCGTAGTCATTAAACATACAACAGAAAAATATAAACACCGGTACCGTAGTCATTAAAAATACATTAAAACAGAAATATATAAACACCGGTACCGTAGTCATTAAACATACATTACAACAGAAATATATAAACACCTTTACCGTAGTCATTAAACATACATTACAACAGAAATATATAAACACCTGTACTGTAGTTATCAAACATACATTACAACAGAAATATATAAACACCGGTACCGTAGTCATTAAACATACAACAGAAATATATAAACACCGGTACCGTAGTCATTAAACATACATTACAACAGAAATATATAACATACATTAAAACAGAAATATATAAACACCGGTACCGTAGTCATTAAACATACAACAGAAATATATCAACACCGGTACCGTAGTCATTAGAAATACATTACAACAGAAATATATTAACACCGGTACCGTAGTCATTAAACATACATTACAACAGAAATATATAAACACCGGTACCGTAGTCATTAAACATACATTACAACAGAAATATATAAACACCGGTACCGAAGTCATTAAACATACATTACAACAGAAATATATAAACACCTGTACTGTAGTTATCAAACATACATTACAACAGAAATATATAAACACCTTTACCGTAGTCATTAAACATACATTACAACAGAAATATATAAACACCGGTACCGTAGTCATTAAACATACATTACAACAGAAATATATAAACACCGGTACCGTAGTCATTAAACATACATTACAACAGAAATATATAAACACCGGTACCGTAGTCATTAAACATACATTAAAACAGAAATATATAAACACCGGTACCGTAGTTATCAAACATAAATTACAACAAAAATATATAAACACCGGTACCGTAGTCATTAAACATACATTACAACAGAAATGTATAAACACCTGTGCCGTAGTTATGTTTTTAGATAATGGTTTTCTGTGTAATTTCAATAATTCGTGCGCAGAAACACAACAGAAGAGAAGAAAGTGTTTTCAGTATCGTGTATGTTGTATGTTTCGTCATGGCCATTTCTGCATGCCGTTATTTGCTTTGGTTTGTTATAGATCAACATTTTAATCTGTTTAAAAACATGAGCCGGAAAGTGAACTATATAATTCAATTCAAGTTCCTCTTTACTAGGATACTATACAATTCGATGTCTTACTGACACTATTTGTTAATGTCTTAGAAAAGATCACTGTATTCAAATGTGTTGGTCTACCTCTGGTTTTCGTTTTAAACAACGGATTGTGCTAATAACAACCTAGTTTAAAATAACGAATTATCATGCTCTTTATGTATACAGTGAACAATCAGTTACATTAACGTGCCTTAATCTCAGTTTGTTGACAGGAAAACGTTATTGCGTCTAAAGACATACTTATATCTAAAAAAAAAATGACATCCCATGAAAACATTATTAAAAAAATTAACAAAAATTGATAGATAAAAACTATTTTTGAGACTAGTGTTGTCGTCTAATGAATGGGTTCTCCAATATCAAACCTTTGTAATCAAAACAAAGAAAAAACTATTAGTCAATATGTTATTTCCTAAGGTATATTTAATTGTTAAACTACATGAAATAAAAGACAACAAAATATCGTTTTTCGTCTATCGGAATTTCCGATTCAAATGACTCATGTGTGAATTTACATTTAAATTGAATAAATTGTTATCTTTCGGTACGTTTTGATGTGTTTCTTACGACCCGAGAATTCTTACTAAAAAGATAAAGCTTACACCTTTTGAGTGAGTCGATATGGTTGGGGTATTTAATACCTAACAACACATAAACAACTTAGAATTCTGTAAGCATAGTCAACTTAATGCCTATATTCGTAAACTCTTTATTCCACGAAGTATATACATATATTAATGTTATTGATTATTGATTTATTGAATATTGATTATTTAAATGTTTCGTCTTCATTATCGATAAAAAAATCATACTTCTTTCTTAGAGATATTCATTTTATGGTGTAAAGAAGTTGAGCAGTTATATGCTTCAAATTACAAATCTGATTATAGACACCAATAAAGGTGTGCACACATACATTCTAAAGTATTTAAGTGTCAATACAGGAACATACAATGTACGTACGGAAACTGGTTTTTTTTCTTTGTTTTTATTGAAAAAGGCATTTTATTCATAATAATTTTTATCGTTACCATTTCATTCACTAAAATCTACAGTCGGTAGATGTTAATTTCAAATTCATTTTTATACACAATTCATGTCGTGAGTTTAACATTAACTGTTCTTTGAGACAAATACAGACGAATTAGTTATCTTTGTTCTTCAGTTTGATAAAACCAGCCATGAGATATGAACCAATCAGTGTTTATTTGGAAATATTGAACTCATTAATCACTTAGAGAGATAGGTATCAGACTTGTAAATAAACTTCACGGTTGGTATTTTGAAGTACGGCGAGATTTTAATGTTTGCACATTTGGTTTTGATGTACGTTTAAAGATTTGTCTGTCGATCTGTTCATTACCCAGATCGCAGGTAAGATTTGGTAGGCGTATGACCCTGCTAAAACGTGTCGCGATCTATAATCACATATTTTAAACTCAATATGTTTAATGTTTGGTAGGTGTAATGCTCTATACGAGATCAAACCGGTCAATAGTGTATTAGATTAAACTCACTGGACAACACCATGATGACGTAAGTGTTAAGAGCATTTATGATTTTCAAATCCTGATCAAATACTTTCAACATATAATATACCTATATATATATATATATACTTCTGCTCACACTTTGCCGTCGGGCTCCTGTTGGTATGGTTTATATGATGTGTCAACACGGAGAGTCGGTTTGGATTTGAGATTGTGGAGTTACTGAACGTGATAGAGCCACATATGGAACAATAACTGTACAGCAGGGCAACATGAATAGCAAACACAAGGAAATTCTTCACACTCATCGGAAGTTTCTCATTACGAATATTATATGGACAGAGGATTTATGTAAACGATTGCAGGACGCATCTCTCCTACCGGACTCAACGGTGAAGGATATCAAGGTAAGGTTTTAACATGGATAAACAATATGCTGATAAACAAATGGTCCTCGTAGATAAATGACGATCAAAATAAAACAGACGTCTTCTACAGTTTTACGGAGATGTGGCTAATTATCAACTTGTGATGACTCGATAATGTCTAGGCAACAAATAGGTACGCCATGTCTGTAGACAGGTGATAGATACTGAGAGATTCTGTCTACAGACAACATATAGATACATTGTGTCTGTAGACAGGTGATAGATACTGAGAGATTCTGTCTACAGACACATATAGGTACATTGTGTCTGTAGACAGGTGATAGATACTGAGAGATTCTGTCTACAGACAACAACCAGATACATTGTGTCTGTAGACAGGTGGAAGATACTGAGAGATTCTGTCTACAGACAACATACAGATACATTGTGTATGTAGACAGGTGGAAGATACTGAGAGATTCTGTCTACAGACAGCATATAGATACATTGTGTCTGTAGACAGGTGATAGATACTGAGTGATTCTGTCTACTGACAACATATAGATACATTGTGTCTGTAGACAGGTGATAGATACTGAGAGATTCTGTCTACAGACAACATATAGAGAGAAAGCTTTCTACCAAGCTGTTTGAGTAAAGTTCTGGTTTGATTTCTCAAGTGTGCATTTTCTATTTCTAGATAGAAACATCCTGGCTTTTGAGCCTTTGGTGTTAATGTTGTTGTTCATCCGATATTTAAGGGACTTGTTCCCAACACTACTCCTTAAGTAGGACGAAATATGACTGCAACTAATGCCACTATTGTAAAAGGTGACTAAATATGCGGGGTGATGTTTTTTCTCTTCTTTTAAATGACTGTTTATTTCTGTTTGTATCCCTTGACACGACCTCTCTTTGTGAGGAAGACTTTGGGTTACTGTCCCTTATCTCAGGCATACCGAAGTCTATACAAATGGTAGTTAATACTCTGTTTTAGCACTAATATTGTGTATGTGTAATGACTGCTTCGCCCATTGTCAGTATAATATGAGCGGAATGGTTGTCCGGCTTGGCGCCGTCCGCAGTATAATTCAGTGTGGTAGCACTATAAATTCTGGTTCAGTTCCGGACTATCACAAGAACACGGACACGAACATTAGTCTTCCACAAACACCGGCACTTAACACATTCATTCAACTCGCATATGTAGAGAGGTCGTCCTGAAACGACCATGGTTGTTGACAGGACTTGAAGAAATAGCTTAAATCATTCCAGCAAAATGATTTACGTACAAAATATCGACAACTGACAGACAACCATCCTATACAGGAGTTCGAAATGCAGCTTGATAAGGTCTATTTTCTTGTGCAATATAAAGTTGGACATATTTAATACTTGTAATTTTGCCTGTTGGTTCCATTTTTGTATACCTTTGAGAACGCGAGTGACATGGCTTATTTGAATTGACCAATATTTACATTGCGGATGCTGTCTTTGAAGTAACCTTACTCTTCAGGAACACATGGTCTTAATCTCCTAATACCTTTTTCGGGGTTCCTGTGTAAATATTTCTTATCTATGTTATCTCCACGTTTCATCATCGTCGCTTTAGACAGGTGTTTAAACAAATGGTATGACAAATGACATATACATGTAGTTAGGGCATAATCGGCTACAAAATACACAAAATGCACTTAAAGAAATGTGTTTGACTATAGTTATAAATATGTGATATGTGTTTGACTTCAGTTATAAATATGTGTTTGACTTTAGTTATAGATATGTGTTTGACTTTAGTTTGTGTTTGATAGATATGTGTTTGACTTTTTTGACTTTATAGATATGTGTTTGACTTTATAGTTTGTGTTTGATAGATATATATATGTTTGACGTTAGTTATAGATATGTGTTTGACGTTAGTTATAGATACGTGTTTGACTCTAGTTATAGATTGGTGTTTGACTTTAGTTATAGATACGTGTTTGACTTTAGTTATAGATTTGTGTTTGACGTTAGTTATAGATTTGTGTTTGAGATATGTGTTTGACGTTAGTTATAGATATGTGTTTGACGTTAGTTATAGATTGGTGTTTGACTTTAGTTATAGATATGTGTTTGACGTTAGTTATAGATATGTGTTTGACTTTAGTTATAGATATGTGTTTGACTTTAGTTATAGATATGTGTTTGACTTTAGTTATAGATATGTGTTTGACTTTAGTTATAGATACGTGTTTGACTTTAGTTATAGATATGTGTTTGACGTTAGTTATAGATACGTGTTTGACTTTATAAATATGAGATATGTGTTTGACGATAGTTATATATATGTGTTTGACGTTAGTTATATATATGTGTTTGACGTTAGTTATAGATATGTGTTTGACTTTATAGATATGTGTTTGACTTTAGTTATAGATATGTGTTTGACTTTAGTTATAGATATGTGTTTGACTCTAGTTATAGATATGTGTTTGACGTTAGTTATAGATATGTGTTTGACGTTAGTTATAGATATGTGTTTGACGTTAGTTATAGATATGTGTTTGACTTTAGTTATAGATATGTGTTTGACTTTAGTTATAGATATGTGTTTGACTTTATAGATTTGTGTTTGACTTTAGCTATAGATATGTGTTTGAGATATGTTTTGACTTTAGTTATAGATATGTGTTTGACGTTAGTTATAGATTTGTGTTTGACTTTAGTTATAGATATGTGTTTGACTCTAGTTATAGATTGGTGTTTGACTTTAGTTATAGATATGTGTTTGACGTTAGTTATAGATATGTGTTTGACTCTAGTTATAGATATGTGTTTGACTTTAGTTATAGATACGTGTTTGACTTTATAAATATGTGTTTGACGTTAGTTGTAGATATGTGTTTGACTCTAGTTATAGATATGTGTTTGACGTTAGTTATAGATATGTGTTTGACGTTAGTTATAGATATGTGTTTGACTTTAGTTATAGATTTGTGTTTGACGTTAGTTATAGATTTGTGTTTGAGATATGTGTTTGACGTTAGTTATAGATATGTGTTTGACGTTAGTTATAGATATGCGTTTGACTCTAGTTATAGACAGATGGAAGCTTTATTAGGTCTACTGTAAGGCAGGAACATGAATGCAGACTGATAATATCTGAAGCAGACAGAAGTTTAAGTTATCGAGCTAAAGACAAGTCGACTTTACGGCAGTTTTGACTATAGCTATAGATGGATACAGCGAAAGATTTGGCTAGTCACGGATACGTGGTAGCTATATGACTACTCAAGACATTTCCCGGGTTTAATCCATCAAATGTGGCATCGTCCAACCTGTACGTAGTAAACGATGTCATCAATCTATTGAACACATCCATAGACCGGACCAGCCAAACGTGAGGATCGGGTGGAACAGCCATTAAGGAAACGACATTAAAAGACGGATTAATTTGAATTCGCTTGACAGGAATTCATTACATATTGATTTTAATTATATCATTTCTTTCAAGAATGATATATGATGCATTTCCGACATTTGCTGTGTGTGGTTTTGGTTTTGAATTGTAATGAATAACATTTTGATTAGTTTTATTGATAGAAGTATAATTATGGAAATATTATCGTTACGATTTCCTCAAAATATTAAAAAAAAGAAAAAAGAAGGTTAAAAAAATTTAAAAATTTAAGTACCAAAATATATCTCATAAACCAAAATGTCAATTAGTGCTTCATAATAGAAAACATTATTAAGAAAGACAATATATTGTCAAAAACCTAATATTGTTTAGTGTAGGGAACAGTGTTCAGAATAGGACGACAATGTCTCGTCAAAACCCTTAAATAATTTATCATCTTATCGTAGAGAACAGTGTTCAGAAAAGGTCGACAATATCTCGACAGACGCCTGATATTAACCAATGTTTTATCGTAGAGGACGGTATCTCCTCAGTCACCTAATATCAAATTGTGTTCATAATACAAGTTATATGGTTGATATGGTGGTACGGAAAACTGTATTAGAACAAATGTTGATATTTGCAGTCCAAAGGAGTAGAACTGTATCTAATCAAGGGCAGTTTTCCATCAAGCTATATGGTAAAAGTGATGATTTCAATTTCTCTATTGTGAATTTTCCATTTCTGGATAGCAATATTCCTGCATCTCCAACCTTTGTTATCTACATGTCACAGTTTATTCGAAATTCAGGGGCTTGTTCCCATTATCACGATTTCATTGCAAGAAGTCGTCAACTGACTGACAAACTCGTAACACAAGGGTTCAAAAGATACAGGTTGATGATCATTATGGTCGCAATAGTGATCTCATTGGAAAATATTATATTTCTTTGAGTGTCATGAGGCTGAGGCTTGTTAGTTTGACTGTTGGTTCCATTGCTGTATACTTTATTCTCATTTGAGAACGTGACATTACTTACTTTGAATGACAAAGGTCGATGAACCAGAAGACGGGAACACCTAGTCTTATTCTCCTTGTACTTTTTTCGGAGTCTCCTTGTAAATTTTTCTTTTGTTCATATTTCGCCTAGCTCATTGGAATGTGGGTTTTTATGTTGCCACGTTGGTATTTTCTAGATTTTTTGCTTTGTAACTAGACTTCAAATGTGTAGTAGGTGGCGTGAAGTATATTGTAATATATTCATGAATTTAAAGGGAGTGTTTGTTTGTAACTTTGTCACTTTGTAGTAATTTAGAATAGAATGACGTAGATATAGTTAAAAGCTAAGTAGATTCCATATCATTTAATGTAAGTTGAACATTTTTGTCATCCGAAAATATACGAAATCGATAAACAGCAATTGCGATGTTTATTTAATTTCCAGTGGCTATTGATAAACGGGATTACATTTTGAAATTCGCTTTACATTATTGTCTGTGTATTTAGTATTCAATACAATACATGCTAAAATCATTAAAACTAAACGGGTCTTTTTTCAGAAGAGCCAAGAAGTACATAATAAATTAATGTTCTGGCTGAGAGATATTTCTATAATGTTATTCACTATAGCTCAATCTGCTTCTGTTTTTATTTATT